ACAGTAATAAAATCAAACACAGGCTACAGTAGTGTTGTAGTACGCGAGACCGGTCTTACGACCACTGTTAGATGGTCTTGGTCTCGTCTTGGACTCGACCGCATTTGTACTCTGTCTTGTCTCGGTCTCGAACATTGAGGACTCGGGATTTTATTTGAAGACCAGTCAAGACCATAACTTTGGGAATCTCAGTAAATTGCTTTTGCATCATCTGATTTATTTGTTAACATCCAAACTTTGACTGGATGTAAAACTTATTGCTTCAAATGCAACCAGTAACGCTAAATAAAAATGACTGTCACCCCTCCTGGTCTTGGTCCTGGCTTGGTCTCAGCCTCTAAAAGTCTTGTTCTTGTCTCGGTCTCGATAAACTCTTGAGACAATAGTGCAATGAACAGAGTGCAAAGGATTCAGGAGTAAATTATTATTAGCATTAGTATTATGTACATTTCGGAGGTGGATGTGATATACAGGTGCACAGACACATACATGAATACATGTACACAGTGTGATGAGTGCAAAGAATGCTGGTATAAATAAGTATTATGTGTGGTGTTATGTACATGAGGTAGGTGGATTTGGTATACAGTATATACAATATAAACAGCTCTGAAATAGAGAATGATGAATAAAAAAAGTGGTAAGCAGTACACAGGTGGCTGATAGTAAACCCATAACAAACATAATGGACATTAAAAATCGAGATGACAAAAACTTTAACAGCCAGATAATGCCTGCAGCAGTTCTGATTCCAGGCCTGCAAAGAGGCCTTTATTCTTTTTCTTGACAGGTGAACATAGGGAGCTTTTCCTGAGGTTCTCCATCTTTACCTGTTTAGATGTCTAACCTTAAAAGCAAACGTTATTTAAGATGCTGGCAAAATACTATATACTATACTATATACTGTACTATAGCTGCAATACTAGTCGGCCTATTAAGTAGAACCTCGTAGTATTTTTTTACACATCGTCAAAGGGGTTGTCTTCCTTGTTTGCTATGATGTGGAGCAGACCACTTTACAGTAAAAGAAAAAGGAAACAGAATGAGCCTTTAACTGAAATAGATAGGCCTATCTAACATCATAAACTGGAAAATTTAAAGGCCAACAGGTTTTTCTCAACCAATTCCCCCCAAGTAAAGTCACCAGATTCAGCCTGCACATCATATATTTCTTGCTAACGTTACACTGATCAGAACTAGCTTCTGTCAGTCTATGTGTTAATGCTAAACATACATTAGCCTAGTATAATATGAGGGATATTTATTTGAAGTTTTCTTTTCAAACATTGACGCAATGTTTTACAAGCGTTAGGCCTACCGTCAGCGGCGCACTCCGAAACCTTCAAGAAACGCGTTTGAATGACTTTGTAGACTCTTCAGATTATAAAGACAAGTCTCTCGATCCGTCAGCATTTCTAATAAGCTACATCGAGTTGATTTAATCTGCTTGTGTTCAGTCATCTGTGTGGACTCTAGGCCCACTCACCAGCTGTTTGTTACTGCACCATCAAGACAAAAGTGAAAGTATTCCAAAAGGAAGTGAAGGAAAGTTCCTCACGTCAGACATTCTCCACATATTCAGATGGATTTTAAAGTAGTCAAAAGCTGCCCAAAATGTGGTTTGACCAAGCAAAGTTAAGTCTGAATATAATCGCAGGGAAAACACTATTTCACTCTCAACCCAAGCTTTAATTTGCTTTCTTCAAAAGAAACCCCAAAACTTCTTTTGCCCTCACCTTTATGTCGCAGGGCGGTTCAAACAGAGTTCACTAATGTTACAGCTCCACCTGCTGGACGCGACAGCAAAACACACAGAGGAGGTAAACCAGCTGTCAACTCAAAGATGATGATTGAGATCATTCAGGTGGTGGCAAAAACAGAGACAGGCTGTTTTTATTCAGATGTTTTTGGACACTGTCGGCGTTGTTGATTCAGATCAGTGGTTCATCTCTTTTGGAGGATGTGGTTTGTGGGTCTGAGGGTCTGCTGTGACTGACAGCCCTGTGCTGAAGCAGGTTTTTTTTGTGTTTGGATACATTTGTGACAAGGGTAGGCTAAACAGCATCAGTCACAAGATCTTCAACACCGACTGAAAGACCCAATTTCTGATCTAAATGTAAAGAGAAGGTTCATCCAACCACCAAAATACAAAACGCAGGAGTAAAAGAAGCTTAGCCTATATCTTACAATCAGGTGAGGAACATACGATTTTCCATCTATGACTTTTTAAACATTTGCAAATACAGCAGTAATTTAAATTACAGAACAGTAGGCTACCGTGTGAGGTTCCTGTAGGCTTATTTTTATTTCCTCAGAACATACTGTAGGAGAAAACAACCCTGTTTTGGCTGATTGCAGTACTGATTAACAGCACAAAGGAATAATAATGGATTTTTGTTTGAAAAGTGAAAGTGGTTGAAGTAGGCCTAGTTCATATGTAGTAGTAATTTACAGTGATAGAAGTATTCAGATCTTGTCAATATCAATACCACTCTACATAGGCCTAATGAAAAACTATTAAAAGTCCTGGATGTAAAAGAAGGAAAGTATTCTTAGAAAAAAGAACAACGGTATAAAACAAAAAACCAAACCACATCATCTCAGAAAAAAATAAAGAAAATCAGTATTACTGATAATACAAACAAAAACATGTACACAGAGAAATATTCCTACAATGATAAAAATATATTATTACAGACCAAAATTAATAACAAAAATTTAAAAAACTCCGACCCTCAACTCAAAAAAAAAAAGAAAAAGATTCATGTATTACACTTGCTATGTACTTATACTGCATTTGTACTTGATATTAGGTTGTGTAAGATTCTTTACATGTTTTTTCTGACACTAAAAAGTAAACTAAGCCACCATCCAAAAACATCACAATCATGTGATTTTCAAGCACATACAGATAGATAGGCCTACAGCTGGAGGAAATCGGAGAAGAACTAGAAAATATTTAACTTTCCTTCATAACCATAAAAGCACTTTCTGCGAGACATAGCCCGCTGAACAACCAGCAGCTGTAGCTCAGTGATGGAATGACTGCTTGGTGTTGTGTTGTGACTGTGGGCCTGAGTTTGGTGTTTTCAGCAGGTGTTCAGTGGGCAGGACCATCTACTGCGCTGAAGGGCTGGAGGAGGTCTGAACAGGTCCATACTTGACTTCAACAAGGGAGCGAAATTCAAGGTCTTCAAGGACACATCCATCCATTGTCAAATGTTTATCCTGCGTACAGGGTCGCGGACAAGGACACATAGGGCCTATTTAGGTTAAAAAGACCTAGCAGATTTTGCCTTTAATAGAAGATACATCAATTTTCAGGTTCACGTTTTTTTTACCCCTCACTTCTATTCTAGGTTGTTGGATGAGGTCCAAATGGCTAATCCACCTCTAAAACGTGGGCTAGCACACTTTCTGGACATGTTCACAAATAGCCTATACGTTTTGGGGTCCATCTAAGATTGCCCTTGGCCGTTTTGATAACTTTAACAACCAGCATGATATCTTTAGTTAAAGGAAGGGGAGTCCTCTTTAAGTAAAATGTCCCTCATTTGTATGGAATTTTTTATTAGCTAGGTGATTATGAAAAACCTGAGCAGTGCTTCAGGAAGGGCACCTTTTAAGGTAATCAGATTTTATTTGCGGAGCTTGGGAGAGAAGGCAGAATTTTTTGTTCAAGACTAAGCTGTAAAATAACCTGCAATTTTGTAATGAATTGTTTGACTGCAACTGCTTTGTGCTGTCTAGTAAATCCACGAGGGTTTGGCACTTTGTGTGCATGACACAAATAAAAGAAAACAGTTATCATGTAACAATAAAGGTTATTTTAACAAACACATAAAAAGACTGGGAACAATAGTTGGAATTGCCGCTGGTGAGCTTCACTCGGCTCTCCCGTAATCAGCATCACTTTCTTCAGGTGTGTTCTCCTACTAGTGCCAGAAATGTGCGCGGCCAACAGGTGATTTGACTAACCGGCTTCCTCGTTTTTATTCAGCTAATCAAATGCTGAATCACTCTGGCAAAGCAGAGGGGAAAAGAGAAGTTGAGCTCAGAGGACGACCACAAAACTCCAGGAGGGTCCATGTGAGAAACTGACCTAATGATGATGCAGTGTGGGATCAGATAGGACATCAGTCAGCAGCGATAGTGACTTGAACGGTAAGAGCAGTGTTTTCAGCTTGCGCGCCAAATCTTGCTGTTTCGATCCCTGTTCATGAACAAACGGACTTACGCAGATAACTCGCTTATTAGATATTTTTCAAATCTAGAAGGTCTCTAAGTCGACGAAAACTCCTCCTTTTATTCTGCCCGTCATGGTTTAACTTACCACGAATCAGAGTTTTATTGCCAAGAGATAAAGGTGCTACACGTAAACAAACATACAGTTGAGATATATAAATAAAAGACTAAATATTGAATAGATTAAGCATGATGTTGCATGTGTTCCGAATTGAGCTCTCGATACTAAAATCTATTTCTATAAGGTAACCTATTTACTATCACATTATATACACTGTAAGTTGCTAAATTTTCGCAGGGATAAGCAGTCTTTTTTTCTTTGTAATTGGGTGCAATTAGCTTAATCAATTCCTGCTTTAAATCACTTTTCACAGGTATGTCTACTTCTTTCAGAAGACAGCCTAATAGTGAAATGATAAACAACTTTACAACATGCCAATATGCATCCTCAACTTAAAACTAATTAGTGTCTAGACTTTACTTTAACAGGTAGAAACCTTGAGCAGAACCTAGTGGGTGGCTGGCTGGGTCAAGATTAAAATATTCAACTGTGTGAGAGCTGATTCAACTCTGGTATTCAGTTTGAATGAACTATGAATGGCACAAAGATAAATGTAAAATTGGGAAAATGTCTGTTAAGACAGATTGAAGACGCACAGTGTGATAGATGGGAACAACTACAGTAGATCTTTGATTGTGGTTGTATTGTGGAGTAGAGGTGATTACTGCTGGAGTTCTCAACAGAAGGCAAACTTATTTTGCATGTTATTTTACTTTTATTTAAATAAAACAGACGATGCAAATTTCTGTCCTGTTGACACCCGCTACACTGGAACATGAATCCAGTTGTGTGGTACAGAGTAACTCGGACACAGACCAGCATCCAGTTTCACCTAAAGTTACACAAACCGGAGGAAACGTGATCCTGAGCAGTTTAGTACAGAGAGCTAATGTGTTAGGAACGATTACAGCTCTCCATAACTGGAGGTAGGTGCGTCTTTTTAATAGATTCTCCATTAGGTTTCTTTTAAGCTTTTGAAAAGGTAAAAAATAAATACTATTCCAGATGTCATTTTATACACTTCCAAAATTTAGCCTGATCTGTTTGGTGTCTCTACTTGACTTTAAAATGTATTTATGGACAAACTACTTGGGGTTGTAAAGTTACAAGCCCATGGTGACTGGGAAAAGGTTGATGTCTTTCATATGATCCTTTCCCCACAACATGTCAGTTATTTTTGTTCCGCTGAGTAGACTGTCAGTGAGACGCACACTTTAAACATGACAAGTACATTTGCAGTGTTAAAGTACCAGATGTTTAAACTGTGCACTTCACCTGCTTAAATAACAAGAAGTCAAGAGTTCATCTTTCAAAATCTTTTGGAAGGCAGCATTGTATTTTTTTGGAGAATTGCACAAGTTTTTTTAGGGTGGTTTTTCTCTGAATCAGCAGCCTGATTGACACTGTGTTGGCAGTGGTTTAAGCTTGACCAGATGAGTAATGTTGTTCTTACTAACGCCACCCATAATATTATATTTACAGTGATAAAACAGAACTTAATCCAGACCGAGCCAAGGGAAGGATGCACTATATAGCCAAAAATATGTGGACACCCAATATTGCAGCAGTGTGATGGCTCAATGTGTCACTCCAGAACCGTGTTCATAAATGTTGGACTCCATCACACTCCGCTCTTCAGTTTCAGTCTTTTCCTCCAAATGCTGAATTTGCTCCCAGAGTCACTAAATCAGGAAAAGTGGTTCTTTATGGAGCTGCTTTGTGCAAAAGGCCACTGTGATGGTGAAACCGGAAAGGGACAAACTGTTGACACACATATTGTTGTTGTACGCTGCAGCATTAGGATTTAAATTCACTGGAACTAAATATGAGCTAGACAAAATCGGGAAAAACAGACTGGGTGGCAGGCACATACTTTGGCCATATTATAATACTAATGCCACTATTAGTTTCCATTAATCATGTTTGTTTGCAGTGTATTGAAATCTTTTTCTCTATAGATTGAGTTTTACTTTAGACTGAGGCTGTCTTCACCGTCCCTCCCTCCTCCATGTGTCTGATGCCTGCTGACTGCTGAAGATATCCATCTCTTCATCTCCTTGGAGCTTCACTCTGTTCTTTCACTACATCACTCCATCATCTGTCCAGCAGTCATGAATCCCTACAGAAACACAAACTTGAACTCTCACCCACGTGATGATGCCTCGGGCTCTTTACCAAATCCATCTCGTTTTTTACCCCCTGACCCTTACGACAATTCCCATAATCCATCTTCATCAGCCGTCTTACCGTCTCCTCCAATCATCCAGACGGGTCATAGCTCTGTGACAGTTTTGAGCCAATACTCCCCTCCCTATCCGGCCCCCTCAGACCAAGATGGAGGTCAAAGCATGGTTCGGTCATCAAACACGCCACTCCCAGGCTCAGGTCCAGGCTTCAGCCTCGGTTCCAGGCCTCAGTCCAGCTTAGCTTCAGTCTCATCTCCAGCTAACCCTCCCTCTGCAGTGTCTGCTACACCAAACCCTTACCCTGCCCCCGCCACACCCCCCTCCAGCCAGGTCTCTGTCGTCATCCCGTCACCAGACCTCCGCCCGTCCCCCCTCCAGTCTCAGTGCTCTGAGGAGTCCTGCCCAGACCTGGAGTGCGCCATCTGCTTCAGCCAGTTCAACAACATCTTCCGCTGTCCCAAGATGCTTCAGTGCAAGCATACGTTCTGCCTGGAGTGCCTGGCACGCATCAACGTCAAGTCGGCTCACCCCAACACCATCCAGTGCCCGCTGTGCCGTGGACTCACACCGCTGCCTGCCCTCGGGCTGCCCAGACTGGCCACGGACTCAGACGTGCTGTCTTACCTGCCGGCCGCCATGCAGAGAGTCTACAGCATCCGCTTCATCCGCAACAAAGGGAAGCTGCAGGTCAAAAGGTCAGGTTGCTGGAGTAACCTATCAGGAATGTCTTCTATGGCAGTGGTTCTAAAATGTCTTCTGTCATGCGCATAAATGTATATATCCCCAACAATATAGGAGTAATTACAAAACTGCAAAAACACAAATTGAGGCTCGGCAGTTGATCGGGGGTAAAACGGCTTTGTCAAATTCTCACGTCTTCATGTCAATCTTCCTATATTTCACCATCTGGACAAAATTTGAGGAGCTAAATATTAGAACGTTGCCAGCTTCAGAGTACTGCTCGTATGTTCCCACATGAATCAGATTAATTGAGTTCTCTTGGTCAGTTTTCCCCTCTGTCCAGCCTGCCGTTCAGATCTAGTGCAAGATGTACCACACTGAAGGGATGATATCGGTACCATAAAACAAGTTGGGTGTACCCTTTTGTTTTATTATATAAAATTAACACATCTGGATGAATGCTGTTACAGAAAAAAGCCTCAAGCCAAAAGTTTTCTGCATTGATCTTAAGTGTTGCAGTTTCACCATATTGCAAATGTGAGAAGATGACTGCTCAGTGCAGCAACTGTCCACAGTTTAAATGAAGACTTGATGATGGGCTGCATAATAAGTGAAAACTTCTCAGTATTGCAAAGAAACTGGGGGGGGGGGGGACCCCGACTGGCAAGAATCATTTGTTTACTACACAGAAATAATCGCATAGAAATAAATCCTGCTGAGACACTGCAGGTCAACAGATCAGGGTGCAGGCTCGTCAGTACTCAATTTTTAAATGGGCTAAGAAGAATCACAATTGTCCTTCAAAGAATAGGATTTAATGAAGCACTGAATTCACAGCTTAATTTTGATCAATAACAGTCTGTTTCTCATTAAGGTCAGCTGAAGGTCGTCAGAGGTCGCTGGCATCTCTGAGGTCAGTGAACCGATCTCTAGACGTGGGGCTTCCCAGCCCGCCCGCTGGGGGTCGCGCTGAGGCGAGCGGCGTGGGCGGAGCTCTATTCAGACTGACTGGCCGGCCGGCGTGCCGAGCCTTCCTCCTGATGTCTGTGGTATTGATGATGGTGCTGCTGATGGGCATCATCATCTTCCTCCTCACCTACAAACATCCGTGAGTGACATCACATCCTGTCTTCCTCCTGCTTTTTATTTCTCTGATGGAAAAACGCATCGAACAGTGAAATTCCAGTTTTATGTCTGAATCCAGTTAATGAGCAACATCTGTTTCACCGCTGTTTAAAAGATGAAAACTGATCCAGATGTGCAATAAAACCCATCGTTCCAGGCTGCTGTGCAACAAGCGGCTTTTAACTCGCTGATGCATCCAAAGCCAAGACACAGAGGAGGAGCTGCACTTAACAAAACACCCACACCTGAGCAGTGGGCTTTCATCTGCTTCATAACATTTAACTTGTGCAAACATTTCAGATAATGACGTAGATTCGGTCAGGCTTCTTGCTTATTTTAGGTTCATTCCTCAAAATTAAAGTACGCAATGACAATCATGTAAGAGCGGCGGTGGGAAAGTGTCGGGGAAACTGAGAAGCAGTGGACTTGAATCTGCAGTACTTGTGCCAAAATCTTTAAATGATTAGCTATCCGTTTTCAGGTGGAACTTCCTGCTCAGTTTTATTGGCTCAAGTCACAAAATGGCGGTCAGGTAACAGAGGAGGAGTGAACTTTAATCTGCCTCACAGGACAGCAGAGCTGCAGTTAATCACCTCAGGTTTGAGGAAAAAACATAAACCACTCCTCAAGGTTTTGAATGTCAGGTTACAAATGGCAGGCTGGTAATACAAGATGCTGAAGTTCACTTGATGGCAAAGAAGATAAGTGATGCTTTACAAAAAATAGATTGAGGTTTATTATATGAACAACAGGCCAAGGTGCAGCTGCAGATCAACTGAAACATGAATCTACTGTCACTGACCTGGAATAAGGCCTGTGACCTGCCTGTAGTTTTGTTCCCCCTCACTCCAAACATGACATAATGCATGACATTATGTAAACTTGTCACCAGGTGGCGCCTTCTCCTTCATATTCCCCTGTTTGTACTTGTTCTGGCAGCTTTCAGCACTTTAAAAAGAACCCAGCCACTGAATGTTACATGCGTGTGTGTGTGTGTGTGTGTGTGTGTGTGTGTGTATTATGTCTTTACCTGCTTGTTTATGTTAGTCTATTTCCTGTTGTTGGAGCTGCAGCTCTGCCCCCGGCCTTAACCAAACGTTGTAAACCAAAGCCATGCAAATGACTTGAGTTACAGATCTGCCGCAGCCAGCTGAGCAGAGGTCAGTGGATTTTCATAGATGCTGAAACATTATGTGGAGGTGGCTTTGTTACAAAGACGATGTAACTGATCACAAGGATTAGTTCAGCCAAATTACAAAAGGAACGTTTCCACTAAATGCAGATGGTTTTGGTTTTATTTTTATTAACAATGGAGATAAATAGACTTGTTTGGTGTTAAAAACATCACATCTTCCCAGAAATGGCATCTTATTCCTGTGGCTAAATCTAGTTTTTCAATACTGTGACCAACCCCAAACAAATTAAATTATCCTGCATCATCGATGGTGGAGGCAGAGGTCTGACACACATCTGAAAACCTGGACGAATAAAACCAAAACTATCTGCATGTATTTGTTTTTTTTTTTTCTTTTGGTAGTTGTTGAATTGACCCTTTTTTATTGTCTGTGGTTGAAATCATCAATAGGGAGTCATGTACCTGAAATAAGCTCTTAAATTGTGAAAGTTTAGGGAATAATTTGTGACTTAAGAGTTCAGCCTGCCAGCTGGTCTGTTACACCCTGCTGGAGGCTGGGAGTTGTGGGACAGTTGTCCAGTGCTGCACTGGTTTAAGCACAGAACAGAATCCTGTCCAATTATAAACTTGATTGGTCAGTTAAAACATAACTAAGACCATGGCGACGCATGTTATATTTAAAATCGTACATTTCTTAATGTGCTCAGCTGAAAATGAGAGAATTGCAAACTTGCAAATCAAACTCGACCTGAAATGAGTAACTACCTTCACTGTGCTGTCCCAGAAATTCCTACATATGGATTTTAAAAGTTACTTAACTTACAGATATGTATGTGATGGTTAGGGACTGAGAGGGGAAAAATACATTTTAATGGGTTTTTTTTCCTGTTGTGTACAGTTTTTATGCTCAATATAAAATAAATAATTTATATATATATTTTTTTTATAACTGTTTTAGCAAAGCTTGCACTGTTGCCATGTTTGCCCTGAGTTATACTTGAATAAATTTCTTTTTGAATTATAGTGTCATTTTTACTAAGCAGGAGAAAGTACAAGGGTTGAACTGATCGGTTTTGAAAGGAAAATGTTACAGGAAAATCTAGAATTGAAGTTGCTTTCACATTTATAAAGTAAAATGTGTCTCCAGCTGTATATTCTGTATAGACTCTTACAGTTCTGTAGGTTTGTAGTCTTTAGTGCTGTGTCCAGACTTTTTCAAACCAAATGCTGGTGCTGACCGATCTGTCTGTGCCAACAATATATGTCTACACTAATTTGTCCCTCTGCTGGTGGGTAATAGATTTGTGCAATGTGTACATTAAGAGCGTCAACTGACAAATTGGACAAAGGGCCTTCAAATCAGCACAGGATTAGGATAAATAAATCAAATAATTGTAATAGGAAAAAAATTATTTTGTTTTGGATAAATAAAAGTAAATGTGCAGGGAACCTGGATATGACAGCCACAATTAAGAATTACACAGCAAACTAATAAGAACAATCAGTTGTATGTGAAAGGTGTGGGAATGTTCACAGATCATGTATACAGATGCAACACGGATAGCAGTCTATGCAGCCAGTTGCTTTCCACATGAGTGAAAAACTGACCAGGGCGCTCTGATGGAAACGAGCTGAGCGGAGAAGTTTGTTTTCCTTTAAATAACGATAAAATGTTTAGCACAAGAACTAAATTTAAAAAGCAACAAACTTCTTCCTTTGTTAGGAATGCTCTCTGCTCTCGTATGTTCACTGTCATGAGTCAGATGCCACTTAGTTTATTTTACTAGTTTACTTGACAGGACATTGCTCATTAATAAACCGGTGAATCATCTGTGAAGTCAAAAGTGCAACTAGACTTACTTATTTTTAAATTCTTTCCTCAGTATTCAGTGATATGGTTGCTGAACTGGAAAAATAGAAATCTTAGTGGTTCCTTTATTCCCAGTTTCTAAGGAAAAAAGTCAACAGCATGTTGCAAAGTGACACCTGCAAGTTCCAGTTTAGTGACTTATTCATACGGCCTAAAATTTCTTTCTGATAAAAATGCTGACATGCTCACGCTTACTCTCTGACACGAGATGACACAATGTTGGGGGAAAAAATGGAGAAGAAAAATAGCTTTACTCAAAACAGCCACTTTTCCTCTATATTTGTGCCCTAATGTCTTGTAAAGTATATTTAATCCTGCATTAACTTTTGTACATTTGTTAAAAAACCTGCAAGTTGCTCTTTACAGAATAATTTCTGTTTATTTCAACCTGCTGGATTTCCCATAGATGTGGCTCTATGGGTCATGCCTACTTTACACTCACCATTTCATTGTAACTTAGAGATTCTGGGAGGCAAATTGCATCGACTGAGGTGGATCCTCCAGCTTAAATAATAAACTTTTTTTTTTTTTTTTCTTTACAAACACTTGTCTAGCTAAACGCAGACAGAAGCATGTGTTTGTGCTAGAGGAATAGTAGCAAAGGCGTGCCGGCAAATTCCAAATTGTAAGAATAAAGAGTTAATCAGAAGGTTGGCAGTTCAATCCCCGGCTCCTCCAGGCTGCATGTCGAATTGCCCCTGGTGGCTGTTCCGCCAGTGTATGAATGTGTACAAGTGTTAGTTTCTGTTTGAGCACTTAGGCTGTGAATGAATGTGTGTAAAAGCGCTTTGAGTGCTCAACAAGACTAGAAAGGCTTGTTAAACAAAATTGTAACTTTTTCTTTGTTACAGTTGTATTTTTTGAGATGAGTGTTTGTTGCTGATGAGTCACACACGCATCTGCATTAGCTGCAGCTTCATGGGGTCCCACCAAATTCACAAAAAAACACCCTGAGGATAGTTTTGGTTTCATGAGCTGATAGTTCAAGATCTTCACCCCTGAAACGTTTGCCTCTGTCTTAGTACATCAGAGGTGAACAGGAATGCATTTGTGCTGCTTAAAGAATCAAGAAATAACATTGGCAAATGTGAACTTTCCAGGAACAACTTCCTGGTTATTATTTATTTTTTTAAATACCAATGAAGACCGTTCAACAACAATCCTCTCTTCTCAGAGCTGACAGTTTGAACAATTTCCACTCAGTGCTGACCCTGCTGTGATATCTCCTGTACATCCTTTATGACACAGCGCCGGTGTGTGTGCGTGGGTGTGTTAAATGGGTTCCTTTGTGTATGATGGCAGTAGACACACCTTAACAACACACTGAGCAATTTAACAAACGTGTTTTCGTGGAGACCAGCCATGTGAACCGCTGCTTGAATCCCACCCACTTTGAGAGTTCACATCCTGCAAACATCTAACCTGAAGTCTCAGAAAAGCTCAGTGTGTCATGTGACGTCTACCCCCTTTAAAGGTATGTACACCCAGACCAAAATTATTCATGTAGTGATGCACATCATCCAGTGCTGGGTGGGCTCACTGACAAACTCTCCTCCTGGTTACATTTAAAACACCAAAATAAACAGCTGCCCCCCCCACCCCCCACCCCACTGTACTTGCTAGAACAACCCGAGTAGAGATGAGTTTTTTGATAAATGAGGGAAAGAGAGGACAGAGGAAGGTTTCTCTAGTTTGTTGACCTCATTCATTTATCTGTCCAGACCACACACACATGTTTTGTGTGATAGAAGGCTGGTTGTTGAAGCAGGGGAGAACATCCACATGATGCTTTGCCAGTTTCCCAGGATTCCTTCCTCTGCGGGGGCACGTATAGTCCTGGAGTCTGACACTCCATTATTGGATGGTCAGTCAGCTGATTAGCTCTCAGACAGGAAAGTTCTGATGCAGCTGATTAAAGATCCACATAAGAAAAAAAACCCTGCCCTTGTTAGGACTTTATCAAGTCTGTAGTCCATCTAGACATCACTGCACCAAACAACTGATTTCTCTTTTCTTAAATCCAATCATCAGCAGGAGGTGGGGGTGATTTGACAACCTGCCCACTGTCATCGGACTTTGATTAAATATGGTGCTAAATCCTGATTGGTGCACAGGAGTATGTGACATCATGTGTTTCTAAATGAGCCCATACAGACCAGTGAGAAGAGTTTAGACAAAAGAAAAAAATAATGTTAACATTGGCAGAGGATTTTGTATTCGTGTGGAATCCAATTTTTCTCCTGTAGATCAACTTTCCTCATGTAATATCTTCCACGCTGAGTCATGATTTAGACTTCCCTCCTCTTCTGTGTCTTTGTTTTGGGAAGTAATCTCTTTAAATGTGACACCTTTAATGATAAATTATTAAATTTTTATTCAGTTAAACTCCTGGACTTTAATAGCTCCTGTCTTTCAGCAGAATTTCTGGTCATGATCAAAACTTTCTGCACATTCAGAATCTCTCACGGTCATCTGTTCTCTGACATGTCCAGAAAAAAGTCATAATATTTAGAGATATAATGAGAAGTCTACCTGCCCCATACTCTGCTGTGCATTACGTTATTAATACGCTGGGAGTAATGTTATCCCCTTCAGACCGTTTGACCGACGCAGTTTGGGACTGCATGTGAAGCCGAAAGTGACTGAAACACTTGTGATCAGCGGAAATCTCACCACAGATCCACATGTTAACTTCAGCAGCTCTGATAAAACTCGTGGCACAAGATTTCATCACACACCTATCAGACACTGATTGGAAAAAAGGTTTTCAAGGCCTTTTAAGCTCAATTTCACAGATGTGATGACTTGGGGGTTTAAAATTCCACCTGTCCAGCCACTAGAGGGCAGACAAACATCAAAACTGACTGACACAGCCGTAATAACGCTTCATAAGCTGAGATGGATTTCCCGATCTTATTTGACTTTATTTTATCCCTTTTTTATATTTATCTTAAACGTGTATTTTAGTCTTTTCAATGTTTTCTTGCTATTATCTTGTATTGTTTTTGTATTATTGTCTTTACACTTGTTAAAGAAGCACTTTATAACTTGTTTTTGGATATCAAAACACAGAGCAAGATGATGGAGACATGTTTGTGTCCACCTGATGAAACAGTCCAACATTCACTCTTAAGTCTGGTTTGGTCTCCACCAGCTCCTGAAAATGATCTGCCTCTCTCTGTGTTCACCAGCTAGTCTCTAACGGTGTGTCTGCTGAGCAGGTCCTGTACTTTGGGTTTATCAATGCTGCAAACACTTGAGACTGAGACAGGAAAAGTGCCATAAAACCAAAACTAGGAGCTAAAAGAGGCTAAAAGCTCCTTAGAGCTGCAGAGTTGGTGATACTTCTCTGTGGATTCATAATTATCTTATCACATTAGACAGTCATTTGAATAAAAGTATGACAAGAGACATTAAAAACTTGACTTGGTTGAGCCCTGTCTTCTACCTGTTAAATATTTTGCACCCTAAAAGTTTTAAATGAAATATTAAACACCGTGTGTGTGTATGTATGTATGTGTGTATGTGTAGACCTCAGACCTCATGTAATTATAACGGATTTTCTGCAGAAAAAGTGGTAAACTCCACAAATGTATCAGAGCCACATGACTGTTTGTGAGCTGGACATTCCAGCCAGGCTTCAACTTCCTGTTTCGCTAAAACCTGCTGAGGGCTGTTACGCATTATGTTACATCAGCACAACCTTCAACACACGCATGTGCACACACCAGCTGACTATCTTCTGTGTTTTCCCATTTAGTCCAGTCACCAGGCACTGACCGTCCGTGTACTCCGTCACCTACGAATCTTCACAATAAACTCTGTTTCACAGTCAGAGCTGATGGTGTTTTAGGGTACCAAAGAAGTGTGGGGGAATGTTCCCACCCACCACCAGAAACCCAGACTTTAACTCCCAGTGGCCAAACCTCTGGCTGTAATGTGGTTTTCAGAGAACATGGTTATTTGTGTTCACAGTGGGAAGCCAGTGAGGGATCATTTCCTTGCTGGTTGGTTGGGGCGCGTGCAGAGTGGGAAATGGAGCTGGCTGGATAAAGTTCCCACAGCTAAATTTAAGAAAAACAGAAGAAGGGAAACACACATAAGCCATGCTGGCGGCATCGCTCTAAAGACTGTCAGTCTGTCAGTCAGTCAGTCCAACACTTCCAGTCCAGACTGTAATATCTCAACTGTTGGATGGTTTCACATTAAATGTGGTTCATATTCCCCTCAGGATGAATTGTAGTAACTTTGGTGATCCTCTGACTTTTCACCAGCACTATCATCAGGTCCACATTTTAATTAGTCCAATACTTTGGTTTATGACTGAATACTTCAGTACAACCGCTGAAACTCAATTTTAGCTACTCAAGATTCAAAATCCCTAAATGCACACACGTTCTCATATGATTACATTACAAATATTAAAGATATTAGATAGAGCTCCATCATGTCCGAGGCTGAAGGCTGCAGATGCTTTGTTTTCCCCTGTGTTCCCTCTGTGTTTTCAGACCTCTCCTGTTGTCCTCTGTTGACCCAGAACTCCACCTGACCTCGCTGTGAAGCTCATTGAATTCTAAATGGTGGCGACAGTTCAAAGTAAGAAGGCCATCGTGGTTGAGCAGTCTGACCTTTGGTTTCAGCTTTCCCCAACACTTTGGAAACACTGCTGAGATAATCACATTTTTATTTTGGTGTGCCTGTAATGTGTTCAGTGTCTTTGTAATGAGTTTACAGTAGCAGTGAGAAGATATGGTTTAACATATATTCAATGATCATATGGTCCTCAAATCGACGATCCGGGCCAACGACCCCACTGAGGTTAAATAGCTGAGTTTCCCTGCCAGTCAGTCAGAACTGAAGAAGTCCTTTGGATGAGGGACAAAACATCTTCCAGTATCTTCAACCAAGTCCAGTTGCCCTTGACTTTAACCTTCTTGGATAACTATGACCTGGATGACTGAGAATCTTCATAGACATCTTAAAGGGTGTCCTACACTGAAAGGAATGCCCATTTGGATATTTGGGTTATATAACAAAAATTGGCGTGACTTGACATGAATTGCATAACTTTTCACTCCTACTAGGTGTTGTCTAGAAATTCCATTATTTATCATATTTGTAAATAACTCATCTGTATTATTATGTAGGGGGGCTGAACCTAGTACTTTACAAAATGAATAAAATAATTCAACATCAATTCTGACAACAGATTAATTGTTTGTCATTTATCAAGAACAAGGGTCTGAAATGTGAGAATTTCCTGCTTTCCTTTTATTCCTGTAAATTAAATATTTTTGGATTCTGGATGAAACAAGATATTTGAGGATGTCAGTTTGAGCTCTGGGAACCTTTTTCACAATTTTCTGACACAGTCAACAGAATAAACCTCATATTTGTGAAAACAAAAAATACTTTGCAATGTGTAAATGTTCAGAAAGATCAGCAGTCAGAACAGAAGCAGGATCAAAGTGACTAAACCTTTATTTTGAAACGTGGCAGTGGGATGGAAAACATTCGTCTTTCTTACTGTTGAGCCTGCCAAGGAGCCAGATCAGACAGGTCAGAATGTGGAACTGAATCAGATGGGTTGGCAAAGCTGGCTCTCTTCTGACTGAGTTTCCTGAGGGACGGACAGAATAACAGTATTTATACAAAGAACAGATTATGTAAAACAAAAAAATAAAAACAGTTGTGATATATTTTATTGATTGATTATTAAATGATATATTGTGTTTTGGCCACTTTAACTTGATACAGCACCTTATTTGTACATCCAGCATTACAGAACAACTCATTTGGAAGCCTTCCTATTCTCATGTGGTTGCCCCAAGTATAACAGATGTATCTGCATCAGGGTTAGTTAAGCCTGTGGCGCCTGCAAACACTTGTGGTTTCTTCCAGTCAGTCACTGGTAGACGTTGAGAGTGCAGGTGGTAGAGCAGCCCCCCCCCCCCCAACAACTAAAATAGAGCTAATGAGGTTCTTGGGGATGCTGGCTTACTACTGCAGTTCTTGTCAGAACTTTTCTTCTGTTGTTGCTCCCCTCACTGATTTGTTGAAGGCAATTTAAATTTGTGTGGTCTCCTGTCTGTCAGCAGGCTTTTCAGAAGGCCAAAGAACTTCTCTGTAGTGCTCCGGTGCGTGCCGCTCCTTGTTGCAAAGTCGTTCAGTCTGCAGGTGGATGCCGGTCACATGGGGGCAGGTGCAGTATTGATGCAGTCTGACAGTCATGGTGTGAACAAACCTGTGGGTTTCTACTCCTAAGAAGTTTAACAAGCATCAACTAACTATTCTGTGATCGAGAGACTCTGTTTTTAGTGTGGGTGTTTACTCATTTTGATGTGTATGTGGGATCCGGGGTGCCTGTTGTTGTTTTTACAGATCCTAATCCTGACATTTCTCAGTTCCTTCAAGTGTCCCTAACCAGGTTATTGTAAGGTTTTTATTTTTCAGTTTTCCCCCTCGAAGATTTCAGTTTGTTTTTCTATTGAATTGTTCATATTATAGGTGGAAAAAGTTCTGACATGATTTCTTTGTCTCATTATTTTACATCATAAGAACCTGGCATTTTAATAGGGGTGTGTAGACTTTTTCTATCCACTGTATGAAAATAATGATTGTAAGCAGGAAAGTAAGTGACTTCTTCCCATTTTACCACAGTGGAGCTATGATTTCTGAGTGCATCCTTTTTCAACTTCAAACACAGACATGAATCAGTCTCCTCTCTCTTGAAGCATCAGGACACCAATTAAATCTGGTGTTCAGTGTCCTTGTTGGCTTCTAAACAACAGAAATGCGTCCACTGAGCAAAGACTGTAAACATGCCTTGTGCATGAGGACAACAATAAATCCCTATGAGAGCAGATCAGGCAGAGGCAGATTGACTGATCATACTATCGATTACACTGGAAAAAATGATGTGACCCAACACTGCCCCTTGCAGGCAATGCACTGGAGTTTCCAATTCACAACAAACCTGTTGAGAGGCAGCTGGGTGCTGGTGGATGGAGCACGCATCCTGTAGATGGCTGGTTTGTGTTTCCATGTGGGTCGAGGTACGAGGCCGAGGTCGCCTGGCCTGTAGCGGGCCATCAGGAACAATGGATCTGTGGCTGCGTTCACGGTCTCTGCTCTGTGGAGGAGAGACAGGATGAGGGGAGCAGGAGCAGACTGTCTTGGCTCAGGGATGATGGGAGTTTTCATACTTTACTTGAGTTGTTTCCTTTGTGAGAGTTTGTTTGTTTTTTCTCCACTACATTTATCTGACGGCTGCAGTTAACAGTTAACATGTACAGACTTTACATTTAGCTTGAGATAAGCTCACACAATGTAACTAATATCACTTTTCTTTACTCCTATCCCTCTGTTCTCATTTTATTCTCTCTTCTTTATTAACATGAAAAAAGAAAAATAAAGATGTTGATATAAAACTACTTCAAACTGATTTTTTTCTAAATATATTAGAAATATGTGAAGAGATAGCAGGGCCACGGGATAATTAATTTCACTGTGTTTAGATAGGAATGTATTGTTAGAATCTTTTGATGAAATCAGTCAACAGCTAATCTGGTTCTGGTGGGACTCAAACCTCAGCAGGACTCTAGTCCAGCCTACTTTGCTGCTGTGATGAAATAGCTGCGGTGTGTTCTGGGTTTTTCTAAACAGGAAATGTGTGTTTACACTGCTGTTGACACCAGTCATAAAACAGAAACCCCCAGTGGAGAGTGATTCCAGTACCTGGCTGGTTTGGGGTCAGAAGTCTGCGGTTTCTGTTCTCCACTGCTCTTCTCAGTGGAGTCTTTGAGGTCAAACCCTGTTGACTGGGGGATGGGACTCTTCAGGATCTCCTGCAGCCTCCGTATCTTCCCCTGAGACTCGGGCGCCTCCTGCAGAGGAAAGAGAACACCAGGAGTGCCTTCAGTTTATTTCAATAGGAAACACAGGTGCATTGAACACTCCTGTTGTGTTACGTAATTCAAAATTCAGGTGGCAGGTGACAATTTAAAATATAAAAATATAACAGAATATAATGCAGTTAGGAAGAGAACGGAAAACTTGGCCAAAAAAGAAAATCTTCTTATAGCAAGCTATTTTTCAGAATATTTTTAGCAAATGCCTTCAAAAGTGACAAAATCGTCCATTTCAAATGAAATGTCCCCAGCGTCCCCACTGTAAATGACACCTATGCCAGCATGTTTTATCCTGTTGACGTTATCCAACATTACATTCAGGTTGCTGCCACTGGTCTACATACCAACAATTAGCTTTAAGTTGCAAAGCTCATGCTGGAGTGGACTAGGTAAATATAACGGGTAAATGTTGTCTTGGCCACATTGGTGACCCATTGGTTTCAAAATGGCAAATTCAACCAAAAAGTGAGGAGTTTGAATGCCTGAATTCTACAAAATACACTCAATGTTAATAATGAGCCTGTCGATGGCAAAAAGAAGCACTTTTTGTGGATGTCATTTTGACGGGCACATTATAAATTTGTGCAGAAAAGCAGCTGTTCAGTTACTGCTAAAGCAAAGATTTCTCCATAAGTGGAAACAAACAGAGCAGCAAATTTATTCAAGTACTGTATATATAATTTCAGTATTTGTGCAGCAGAAGGTAAATGGGATGTCTGACCTTCCTGGATTAAAACCAGAATCCTCTCTGGAAAACAGCTCCCATAATATACAGATATTCCAGAACCTAGAGTTGCTGCGGCAGGAACTAAAGCAGGCGTCCTGACACTCCAGGGGCCTCATTACAGAAACTTTCTAAGTCTGGAATACTTTCTTAACAGTTTAGTATAAACTTTTTTTTGGTATTACAGAAACATGTTTCCTAACTGCATTTAGGAAAATGTCTGTCGAAATCTTTATCCTGGTCTGATAATTTGGAAGAAAACTTTCCAAAAGGTGGGTTTCCTCTTCTCTACAGACATGATTAATGTCTCAGACTCATCCCTAAAACTGAGGCATTAGACAAGTACAGAAGAATTGAGTTTCTAGTTGTAGTTTGGATTTCTTAAATTAAGATAAGATAGGCTAGGACACAGCCACGAGTTTAGGAATTGCTTCTGTGAAAGTTAGACAGGATTGTTCCTTTTTTTTTAACTTAAAGGACAAATCGGACAAGCAGTTAGGAATTTTTTCTGTAATGAGGCTTCTGGTCAGGACTTACCTCCAGGATGTGTCTGAGAATGATGACTGCTTCATGGATGTCACCCTCCAGCTGCTTCTTCCTGCTCCTCTCTTTCTGTAGCTCGGCCCCCAGCTGACCTGCCTCCGCTGTTTTTTGACGGCACTTCTTGGACCCTGAGGCCAAGCGCTGTCTGAAAACACAACAGAGACAAAAACCCCATTACAGTGCATCTGGTGGGGGTATAGCTCAGTGGCAGAGCATTTGACTGCAGATCAAGAGGTCTCCGGTTCAAGTCCGGATGCCCCCTGTTACACATTTATAATGTTTGGTAAGTGTGAAAAATGGAGGTTGACGCTTTAATGATTGTAACTTGTGATGTTTTCTGTGTAACAATGAATCTTAAACTTGTTTGTTTGAACGTCAGAAAGATTAAAAACTTGTACCTGAGAGTCTCTTCCTTGGCCAGCATGCTCCTCTCGGTGATGCCACAGGCCTTCAGCTTCACCTCCAGCTGCCGGCACTTCTTTGTCAGCTTCTCCACCTCCTGAAAAAGGGAAGATGATTTTTACTCAAATAAGGAGCCTTATGTGCTTACGGACATATGTTTTCTCTATCCAAATATCAGCTGATTTAGATTATGTTCTTGATTTGTCATCATTTTTAATCCATCAATAATATTATGCTCACATGAAAAAATTATGAATAGGTACAAAGACTGCAGCACTTAAAACGTCCAATGAGATTAAAGACACCTTTTCCATCTTGTTCTTGGTTGTATTATTCAGCTAACTGTTAACTGTTCTATATCTAAATCACATATACTTACTAAACTGTGATGGAAACCAATTAAAGAATGCTAAATTGTGACAAAGGCTGCAGCTGTGCAATCTCTAGGCTAATTTAGCTACAGTCTTTCATACACTGTGTGAACACTAGAAGAGTTTTTGTTCACTGTAATTGCTTCTCCTGTTCAAACTGTTCACAAAGAGATTCCTCATTCCTTAAAACAATCAATCCATTGTCCATCTGCTGCATCCTTAGAAACCAGTGAGAAACCAGTGTCTCTCACAAACACCTAGATGTTGATGTGATGGTAACAGTGAGGGGGTATAGCTCAGTGGTAGAGCATTTGACTGCAGATCAAGAGGTCTCTGGTTCAAGTCCGGATGCCCCCTGGTCCTCATTTATGCCACTTCTCAACAGATGCTCAGTGCCACTGATGTCTGCGTCCTCTAGATACAATGTTTACATGTGACTATATGCTTTAACCTTGATGCTCTAACTCTTCCTGTAGTAATACTCCAGGGCCTGTACTATGAAGCAGGATTTGTCAGTTCAGTAAGCCTTACTTACTGCTTTGAAATATGTTTTTATATTTATTTTTTATTTGCTCCGAAGTACGTTTTGCACATCCTGTCGCAATGAATTTGTTTATTATGACTTTAGGTTGCATTTGTTCCTTATATTATAGAGACCGTTCATGTAGCGCCCCACCTTTTGCTACAGAGGTAATGTAGGTGAGTTTTCAGTAATTACTGAACTCAATACATGGCTGAGATACACAGCCCAGCAGAAAGAACAATCTGAACTAGCTGCACAACCCAGACTGAAGCAAGATGTCTCAGAGTGGTAAGTTAATAATGTGTCACAAATTTATCTTTCATAGTAATGTTTTAACTGTGCACTGGTATCTAAGTTTCGGTAGAGAGGGTGGAGGTGAGGGGAGGCAGTGGGCGGACCTCTTTTCACTGTGCGTGCTGCAGCTCAGTGTGTTTTTCCACCAGTGTTTTTGAGGGCATGCCACACTAGCCACTAGGCGTGTTACATAGAGACGCAGAGAGTTATGGAAGTAAAGGCTGGACTGTAGTCAAGCTGTTTTCAGGCAGAGTTTTCTGTGGGAGATGGTAACTCCCTTTGGGCTGGACTTTTTCACTGTGCAAACCTATTATTACATGCACAAAAAAGGGATATAACTCAATAAAAAAACTATAATATGACCTCTTTAAGCTCTTCATACTACTGCTGCTATGACTTGTGCTGAGCAGAGCCCACTGTGACCACAAGAAGCAATGACAGAACACTTTAGTCGTACATCTTCTCGCATACTGATGCCAGGTCCTGTCTGAAACACAACACAAATACTGACCCGGAGCTCAGGCTGTGAGAGTACATCTCAGTGGTAAGAGCATTAACTGCAGACTTAAGAAGAAGACGGGCCAAAACGGAGGACTTTAGAAACGATGACGCAGCCGCTCACGCTCGGCTCTCTGTAAGGGTCTTATATGTCATGCAAAGCAGAAAAACGATGCTACTGACCGGGTTTTTGACATGGTATTCGTTTTAATTCTCTATTTGTAAACTAAAATGGAGTAGTGAGGTCTCTGGATCAAATCCAGATGCTCCCTGAGGTGGATTTACTGCTGTCCTCTTACCTTCTTGTAGGTGAGGCTCTCCTGGGTCATGCTGTTGATGTTTTTTTTCAGGTCATCCACCTCATAGCAAAGAAAAGCGTCTCTGCCTCGCACGGCGTCTTTCTCGTCCCACAGATCCATGTTCTCGCTCAGCAGGAGCTGGACTTTCTCCAGCCGCTCACTGTGCTGCGCCCTCTCCTCCTGAACAATGTTTGAGGTCTTCATCTTAATGTAATAGTGCACTGCGTTCTGTCTCTTCTCAATCCTGTCGTTGGAGGACAGGGGAAGGGATGGCTAAACATTTAGTGTACGCTGACCAACACCAACAAAAGGAGATCAGTTGAATTTACCTTTCCCTCTCCATCTCTGCTTCCCTTGTCAGCCTGAGGACGGCAGCTTCGTGCTTCTCCTGCTGACTGGCCAGCTGCTTCTCCAGAGACTCCATGTCGGATAGCTGCTGCATCAGCTGCTCTTTCTGCTCCTGCTGCTCCTCGAACTTTGCCGCTGAAATGAGAACAGGAGAGAAAAGAGCATTCACAGCAGGGGGTATAGCTCAGTGGTAGAGCATTTGACTGCAGATCAAGAGGTCTCCGGTTCAAATCCGGATGCCCCCTTTATGGCACTTCACAACAGATAGTATATCTTGCAGTAATCCTCTAAGTAAGCTGAGTATGAACTGATTTGTTGTAAGGAATCTGTAAATAAATGAATTCCTCACCTTCACCCCATCAGTTACTTTCTAACAATGGGACACATCACTGTGCATTATGTGAGTCATTAGTGAAAGAGGTCTAAGCTCACAAACAAACAGAAGCATTTCCTAACTGCTCGTCCTATTTGTCCTAGGAAATAAGAAAAGACCTATCTTCCTGTTACAGAAGCAATTCCTATTTCTCCTAAAATACCGTGGTATAAATAAAAACCAAAAGTGAAAACAGAATGACTGAATCAGAATAACTTCCAGAATAAATACATCTCACAAACTAAAAAAGATTAAACTTGTCTGCACTCAGGGACCTGATCCTAGATCAGCAAAATGAATCCATTCTAAGGGGATGGGAGAAGAAACAACTAAATACTTAATAAACAAACATTGTGACTGTCTCACCCTGCATCTTGCTCTCTGAGCTAAGTTTGTTGATCTGCTCCTGTAGCTTCAGTATCTGCTGGCTGTGCTGCAGGTTCAGGGCCTGCCAGTCCTGTTCAGCAGCCTGCTGCTGACTCTCCAGCCGCTCTGCCAGCTTTTCCCCCTTCTTCTCTTTTGCAACCAGGGAGCGTTTCAGGAAGTCAATAATATCTTTATTGTCCTTCTCCAGCGCGTTGTACTGAGAGACAAGGTCCTTGTTCTGTTTCTCCAATTCATCACATTTAAGCTGACATCTGCAGGATGAAGAGTGACGTGTGGGCTTAAGGGTTATATGCAAGAACCTACTGTGCTTTTTTTGTAAATACAATATTTAAAATAAAATAATAGCTGCAGTAACTGCATCCTGTATCAAAGTTTTAATCATGCTGAAATTGTGCCTGAAGCTTGTCCTCACAGTACGTGAGGTGAAATTCTAGGAACCAACAGCTGGAGAAAGATGTTCAGTAAGACTTAAATGTGATACAAGTAAAGGCAATTGCTATATATGCCAGAGGTCACACACCTCTGGAGCAACTAGGGGTTAAGTGTCTTGTGACTCCTTGGTGGATAATTCGCAGAGGGAATCAAACCCAGATCACCCAAGGCAAGGGCATGTGTCTTATCCACTGTTCCATCGACACCCATAATTAAAGTTTTATCATGCTTTTATAGTTGTTGAGTAATCTTTTAAGCTGTAACGCCAAACATCTGCTGCCTCCAGCTTCTCCTATGTGACTATTTGCTGCTTTTCTTTGTTGTTTCTGACAAATATGAACATTATTCAATAAAAACAGCTAATTGCTAGTTGCAGCCCTAAATGGAAGAGCACACTTTACATTTCATGTTAATTCAAGGTTATACTACATTTATATTACTGTATATTTTGTATTTATTTTCACACATACAGTATTTTTTATTTTATTCAGTTTTAACATTAAAGCTAATGCAAACACATTTTCTTCCCAATAATAGTCCAAGTTGAGGTTGTAGCTTAGTTCTAATCAAGTAGGCTAAATATTTCTCATTATAAGTAAGTGTTTTTCTTACAAAATATTTTTAAAAAACATAGTGGCAGTGGTGGCAACAACGCTAAATTATGTCAGTCAAAGTTCCATTTTATGCGGCACAAACATCTTCAGACAAATTGGTGCTATGCTAACAGCTACCATCCATATACTGTACAAAAGAAGCTAACATCACTCTGGCTAATACCAAAGGGCTACGCCAATAAAGTAAAATCTAGCTTCTAAGACAATATATATATATATATATATATATATATATATATATATATATATATATCATTCTGTGTTTAAAGAAATTACTAAGAATGCATTTCACCTGAAACAGAAGTAGGTGTGCAGCTAACAGTCTTAACTAAACATTACCTCTCAAGCTGCTTGTCAAGATATTGAATTTGTATCAAATATAACCAGGTATCTCTGTCTTCAGAACCTACTTCATCCGCCATAGTTCTATATTTGTCTTTTTCCTATAGATTTTCTGGCTTTTTGTTGTTTAACTCAGCTTTTCTGATCCTTTTGTCCTGGCATGTATCAAAGAAAGTTCACTGAAAAATCACTACCGCTTAGACTACGTGTTGCTAGGGGATGAATGTTGCCTTCAGGGACTGCTCCGAAAGTTCTAACCTTAGTAAAATAATCACACCATCATCTATTTTCTGTAAACTATTTCTAGCCTACTATTACTCGTACCATTGTCACTTTATATATGGGTGTGACTTTGTTGATTCTGTACAAATATAATATGTCTTGTTTTCCCTACTTTGTAATCTGTAGTTTTGCTAGTTACTTTTTTTTCACAATGATATATTAATATAACTATTATATATATATATATAAAATATTCGTCTCACAGAAAGCTTACTACATTCAGCCAAGATTCGAAGAAAACCTTTTGTTTCCACTGATTCATTTCACTACAAAGTGACAGCAGACCACCTCAGGGTGACCCTCTGTCAATATCAGAGCAATCTGATGTAGTATTTTAAAGTTACAGCCCTTGTAGCCCCAGAGGGATGTGTTTCCATGCATTGTGATTATTAAATTATCAAATATGATAGAGGCACCAGGACGTTAATTCGAGATTTAATTTGTACAGAATAGGATTCTTAGCTGGTAACTTTCTATTACAAAAAGCAAAACTTTCCACGATTTAATGATTTTATCTGAAGGAGGGCGTGTTAGACTATAAGAAAAACATATTGGTGTGATATGATGGGATTTATTGTTGGTGTGGTTCCACTAGTGTTGTTGGATTGATGTAATTGTAGCCCATTGGAATTTAAGATTATTCCATTCGACTGAAGGATACTTTTCTATATATCTTTACTGTCAGTAGTTTCTATTTCCAACGCAAAACAGAATCTTTTGATCTTTGTTTTTTGGTTTCTGATTGTTTAATAGTCCCTAGTTAAAGGTTGGGTGTAGTTCAAAAAACTTAGTTTAGTTAAAAATTTAAATAAACAAAAAGACAAAGTACCGCATGTACTAAATCGATCTGATACTTTGAAGGAAAAAGTATTGTGTTGCTAATAAATGTTGGGTTCAAAAATGCAACATTTGCCTGATTGAATGTGACTTCCTGTATACGCCAATGGCCAATTCCTGTCTTCAACACAAATACAGATAATTACATTAACTATAAACCTCTACTGTCACGTATTTCTGTCTGTATGTGTGAAAGTGGAATTAGGCAGTGTAAAGTGAAATGAAAAGGCATCCACGTGAATTGGATGTAAAATTGGTTGTGTGAATTTCCACACAAACATGGTAGCAACTGACCCTGAGTGTAAGAGAGATTCCTTTCTGACAAATACACAGTGACAGTCTGGAGGAACCCGACATGAATGTATATTTTCTTTGCACACGATGTGTCTCTGTCGTAAAGAGTTGTTTACACTTTCAATTAGCTTTGATAGAGTTTTACTGTGTCTTTGTACACTCACTCACCTTCTGCAGGACACCTAGGATGTGGGAAGGTCATGTGAAGAATTAAGATGTTCTGGTTGGTCTGCTGAGTCTTGTCTTGCCTGAGGATTCTTCTTGTAGTTACAGCATTACAGACTTTCCCTGCACACACACACACACACACACACACACACACACACACACACACACACACACACACACACACACACACACACACACACACACACACACACACACACACACACCTAAAACCAAGTCCTCATACAGCCCTTTAAACTTGTAGGGTCCTGCATTACCTACAAAATGGCCTCCACAGGTATAGTGGGCTCCTGGATTTTGGGACCCATGGATGTTGTAAAATGAGCCCACACACAAATACCCAATTCATGTTTTAATCCTTGTACAAGACGTACTGTTCCCTCAGTCTGTGTCTGCCAAACCAAAGTGATTCTCTAATTACTGTGTATAACATCACACACACACACACACACACACACACACACACACACACACACACACACACACACACACACACACACACACACACAGTAAATAAAATAACATAGTATAGTCTAATAGTGTGAGAAATAGTGTCGAAGTCAAGTGGAGGATGGACTTTAAGCACATCAGAACTTCATGCCAATTCTAACCTAAATGTTTACCTTACCCTTTATTTGCCCACCCACTCAGTACCTTTCCCTAACCTTAAAGCTGGATTTGTTTCCAAGTGTTGGTGAGTTGTACTGGATGTATTTAAAAGTAGTATGGCTGCTTTAGTGTCTCCAGAGAGAGCTGTGTGAAATCTGATATGTAAACACATCTTTTATGCGAACGTGGACCAACTCCAATCTGATGTGATAATCCTATTTCCCTCAAGTGATATCACTTGAGTCAGCGTCAGTTGAAGACTACAAGTTTGAAACTGAAACAAATCTTTTGGTGTGGAGTTAGAAAGAAGCAAGCTTAACTAGATCTCTTTAGAATGCTGCTCATCTATACTGAAGATTAATCCAGGCATAGGTGACATAGGTGGTCGCAAAATGTCAGGGGCGCCACAAGAGAAAGCTTTTGACTCCACACGAATCAACTCCTCGCAGCTGATGCGAGCTGACACTGGAGATTTTAATCATGTGCACATCACGCTGTGAGTCCAGACAGTAGCTAATGTGGAATGCATGTGTATTTATGGTGAGATTTCTGCCTGATCAGAAGTGTTTTTAGTTGGTTTCGGTTTCACACGTAGCATGCAGACCCAAACTGTGTCAGTCAAACGGTCTAAAGGGGATTGGCAAAATACCAGCGAATCAATAACGTAGGCTACTGCGGTGGCCTGTACTCATCCAGGTAACTTCAGGAGTAACTTTGTGACGTCCGGTGCAACTTCCCGATTAACCCGTACTACGAAAGGTGGATAGGGGTTACCTGCCATGGCAATTTACGCTGCATCTCTAAACTGCTCCGAGCAGGTTTTGTTCATCGTTAACTCGAGGTTACCTGGACTGCAAACCACATAGCTACTCAGTGTTAATGATGAGAAGTAGGATATTAATACACACCACTTTATAAAATATGTTTAGATTTCATCCTAATTTGTTCCACTGCGGTTGCAGTGAAGTTCTGAACACAACAGCATCACGTTCAGACAGCGAGCCCTGCAGCCTCTGTGATTTTGGAGAGGAATCTTAATTAATTAACGGGATAGTTTCTTAGATGTAGCCCATCTGTAGGCTATAATTGAATTATCCTAAGTGTTTTCACATATTTAGATAATTTTACATGTCCAAAAAATAGGGAGCTTACAATGGACCTTATGTGCAGTTGTAACTTTACATCATGTTAAACATAAAAGAGCCCATAAAATACATAATAGAGATCTGATCTACAATAAGAACACTGTGAAGATAATTAGGCTACAAATTTACTCAATGCAATGCCATCAAACCTCCCTGGCTTTGTCATCTGTCACGACATTAGATTTAGCCGTTAACTTGTCTTTACATTCATAATTTCCTGACACTACTAATGTGCATTCCTCTGGAGAACTACGGAGCATGTGCCTGCACGGCCGAACACACCCCTTTTAATGCGAACGCGGACCAACTCCAATTAAGTTAACATGGGGTTAACACGGACTCAACTAACCAGCGTCTTATCCAACTTCGTAGTACCGTTTAACTCCAGTGTAGGCGGACAGAGTTCGTCAACCCTGAGTTTGCCTTCGTAGTACAGGCCACAGTGGCCTGATCAGCCATCCCCACCACTACTTAAAGAGGTGGTATTCTGCTCATTTTCAGGTTCAAAATCTTAATTAGGGGTTGTACCAGAACAGGTTTACATTCATTTTCAAAAAACACCATATTTTTCTCATACTGCACATTGCTGCAGCTCCTCTTTTCACCCTGTGTGTTGTTCACTCCGCTCTTGAGCTACAGAGTGATGCATCTTACTTGTACAAAATCTTTGTTGGGAGTTGCACATGCGCAGTTCCCAGGTAAGGACTACTAGCCAATCAGAAGCAAAGAAGGGCGGGTCGTAAGAAACAAGGTAGTGTTTCCAAATCAAAGCCGCTTCAGACTGCGACCGTAACCTAGCAGATGGTGTAAGTTACTCACAAGTCCACAACCACACAACATCATTGTTCCACATCTTACCATAAACCACTACAAAAATCACCATATTTCAGCTCAATTTTACATAAATATTGACCAAACAATTTAAACGTTTGCTCAGTAGCTTTCACATCAGGTGTAACATTAGCATTATAACTATAACTTTAGCTGTGTTGGCCAACGTTTACAACAACTCCACACTTGAACAGTCTGTGAAGTTACATTCCATACGAAAACTGTAAAATATAAAAACTTTCTGTTGCTGGCCTCTGGCTGGTGCAGCAATGATGATGCAGTGAATAGTGAATATTCTCTCTGACCAATCAGCAGTCTGTCGTGTTTTCACATTACATTTTAGTTTCCCTCAGCTCGCTTGGAACCTCGACGGAGGTGAGGTGATACAAAAAAAAGTACCTGGAAGCAGGTACAGGTACAACATTTCTACAATGGAAAACCAAACAAAGGCAGTCAGCCAAAGGGCCTCCGCTCAGACTAGCTTGGTCTGAGAACGTGCCTGACCCCGCTAGCCGCTTGGCAAGCTTTATGACGCCTTTTCATTGTAACGTCACAGTGAAGGAAGTGAAGGGCTGGACTGCAAACGAGCTGTTTTCAAGCAGTTCAGAGCAGAGCTTTCTGTGGGAGATGGGAACTCCCTTTGAGCTGGACTTTGGGCTTTTTTACTTTGCAAACCTGTTACATGCACAAAAAAAGAGATATAACTCAATAAAGGAGAGGGGAAAAGCCAAAAAGCATAATAATACCACCTCTTTAAGGAGAGGCCAGACATCCATTCCCTGCTGGATTGTTAAATTGTGTACCGTAGGTCAAGTCTTAGCATCTAGCTCTAAGCCTGTAAGTCATGTTACCAATTCGCTATCCTCCTGTCTCCAGATAGCCCATGCCTCCTCAAAAGAGGAGGAAATGCTCAGCTTGTGTACTAACTCAGCAGTGATTTAAATAAATTAGAAAAGTTGATCTAAAGGACCGAATGCAGGAAATTAAATTATCTTTATTTATCCCCTCCAC